GGCATAACCCTAATTTTCTTTCAGTTGTAAGGTATTTTCTTCTCATTTTCCACTTGAAGTCACCCTTGTTTCTGTGTGGCTGCCCTTTCTCCAGCCTTCCTTGGTCCAAGGAGGCAGGCAGTTTCTCTCTGCCCTGTCTCCTTGTGTACAGTATACCTGTTCTGAGGATTGGTTTTTCTTTTTTCTTTCTTTTTTTTTTAATTGATTTTTATTGAGCTCTACATTTTTCTGTGCTCCCCTCCCTATTTTTCCCCTCCCCTTCAACCCTCTCCCAAAGTCCCCATGCTCTCAATTTACTCAGGAGATTTTGTCTTTTCTACTTCCCATGTAGATTAGATCCATGTATGTCTCTCTTAGGGGCCTCATTGTTGCCTAGGTTCTTTGGGATTGTGATTTGTAGGCTGGTTTTCTTGGCTTTATGTTTTGAAACCATTTATGAGTGGGTACATGTGATAATCGTCTTTCTGGGTCTGGGTTACCTCACTCAAAGTGATGTTTCCTAGCTCCATCCATTTGCCTGCTCATTTCAAGCTGTCGTTATTCTTTTCTGCTGTGTAGTACTCCATTGTGTAAATGTACCACGTTTTCCTTATCCATTTTTCAGTTGTGGGGCATTTAGATTGTTTCCAAGTTCTGTGTCAAAAATCAGGTGTTCGAAAGTGTGTGAATTATATATCCGGGTCTTCCATTCAGTTCCATTGGTCCTCCTGTCTGTTTTTATGCCAATACCAGGCTGTTTTCAGTACTGTAGCTCTGTAGTAGAATTTGAAGTCAGGGATTGTGATGCCTCCATAAATTCTTTTATTGTACAGGATTGTTTTGGCTATCCTGGGTTTTTTGCTTTTCAATATGAAGTTGAGTACCGTTCTTTCGAGGTCTGTGAAGATTTTTGCTGGGATTTTGATGGGCATTACATTGAATCTGTAGATTGCTTTTGGTAAGATTGCTATTTTTACTATGTTAATTCTACCTACCCAAGAGCATGGGAGGTCTTTCCACTTTCTGGTGTCTTCTTCAATTTCTTTCTTCAAAGATTTAAAGTTCTTGTCATACAAGTCTTCCACTTGTTTGGTTAGAGTTACTCTGAGATATTTTATGCTATTTGTGGCTATTGTGAAAGGTGATGTTTCTCTGATTTCTTTCTCAGCCCATTTATCATCTGTGTACAGGAGGACTACTGATTTTTTTTTTTAAGTTAATCTTGTATCCTGCTACATTGCTGAAAGTGTTTATGAGTTGTAGAAGTTCCTTGGTAGAATTTTTGGGGTCGCTTATGTAAACTATCATATAATCAGCAAACAGTGAGAGTTTGACTTCTTCTTTTCTGATATGTATCCCCTTGATCTCCTTTTGGTGTTTTATTGCTCTAACTAGGATCTCAAGAACTATATTGAATAGATATGGAGAGAGTGGACAACCTTGTTTTTTCAGTGGGATTGCTGTGAGTTTCTCTCCATTTAACATATTGGCTGTTGGCTTGCTGTATATTGTCTTTATTGTGCTTTGGTATGTTCCTTGTATCCCTGCTTTCTCTGAGACCTTTATCGTGAAGGGATGTTGTATTTTGTTGAAAGCTTTTTCAGTATCTAATGAGGTGATCATGTGGTTTTTATTTTTCATTTTGTTTTTATGGTGGATTACGTTGACAGATTTTTATATGTTGAAACATCCCTGCATCTGTGGGATGAAGCCAACTTGGTCATGGTGGATGATGGTTCTGATGTGTTCTTGGATTCGATTTGCCAGTATTTTATTTAGTATTTTTACATCAATGTTCATGAGTGAGATTGGTCTCTAATTCTCTTTCTTAGTTTTGTCTTTCTGTGGTTTGGGTATCAGGGTAATTGTAGCCTCATAAAAAGAGTTTGGCAATGTTCCTTCTCTTTCTATATTATGGAATAATTTGAGGAGTATTGATATTAGTTCTTCTTTGAAAATCTTGTAGAATTTTGAGCTGAAACTATCTGATCCTGGGTCTTTTTTGTTTGGGAAACTTTTGATGACTGTTTCTATTTCTTCAGCAGTTATAGGTCTATTTAATTTGCTTATCTGGTCTTGATTTAATTTTGGTAAGTGATATTTATCCAAAAAGTTGTACATTTCCTTCAAGTTTTCCAATTTTGAGTATATACATATATACAGTTTCTACATATATATGTATGTTTTATACAGTATATACATATATAAAACAAACATTTTTAGTTGTTTTTATTGAGCTATATATTTTTCTCCACTCCCCTCTTTCCCTCTCCCCTTCTGCCCTCTCCCATGATCCCCATGCTCCCAATTTACTCAGGAGATCTTATCTTTTTCTACTTTCCATGTAGATTAGACCCATGTATGTCTCTTTTAGGGTCCTCTTTGCTGGCTAAGTTCTCTGAGATTGTAAATTATAGGCTGCTCTTTCTTTGCTTTATGTCTAAAAGCCACTTATGAGTGAGTAACAAGCTTCTTCTAAGATAAGATCTGGTATGCGGCTCTGGCTGGCCTCAGACTCTCTCGTGCCGCAGCCTCCCAGGGGCTGGAGTACAAGTGAGCACCATTAGTCCTGGCCAGAACATTTTTTTAAAGGCATGTCACTTTTTCTTCACGTGAAGAAAAAACACAAGTAACTGTTTAACCAGAAAGCCTTGGGTTCCTGTTTCGATGGGCCTGGTGTGCCCGACCACCTTTTGTTTCTTACAAGGTGTGGTGGGTACTTTGCACACCGTGACTCTGTTCTCAGCAAAGCCTTGCCAAAAGTTTTTCCTCGCCTGCTAGGTCCAGGTCCCTTGTACAGATCCACATTTTGATGTGCTGTGGCCTTAATAAAAACAAGGGGTGTTTTACTCTATACGGGCCAGTTTCTGAGGCCAGCATATGGTTCAGCCGGCAAGCACAGCAAACCTAGCAGCCTGAGCTCAGCCCCCAGAATCTCCGTGAAGGTGGAAGGAGAGAACCAACTCCAGAACTGTCCTGACCTCTCGTGTGCACCTCCGTAGGGCTCTGGTTCTAGGCTGCAAGGGTCGAAGGGTAGAGCGTCCCTGGCTGCTGCCATTGCAGTGTCGCCTGCTCTCTGTCCGTTTGTTTGCCTCTTGGTGTGAGACGGGAAGGGGCAAAGTGGAGAAAAGCATGAACGTACAGCCCTGCCCAAAGCATCTGGGAGGCCGGCAGGAAGATGGTGAGTTTGAGTCTAGCCAGGATTCCAGAGAGAGCCCTTGTGAGGCAAGGAAAGGGCGGTGCTGCTGAGGTCAGAGTGCATCTGCCCCTCGCGCACCTGCCCGCTGCTGTGCTGGGTGTGGTGCGGTGGGTTTCCTGGAGTTTGCAGGCACTTGGTCAAAGTTGACTTTGGATGTGCTGATACCGTGCTGAGAGAGAAAACTTTGTAGTGGGATAAGCAGGCGTCACAGTGAGCACTTGCTGGAATCTGGGGCAGTACATACAGCCCAGCCCCTCTGATGTCCAGGAACGGCATCAGCACTTTTTTCCCTATGCTCAGAGCCCAAATAAACGACTCCCCAAAGCTGGACATAGTGTGCCTTTGCTGCGTGTTTCTTTCTAATAGTTCTGTTGCCCCAGCATGGGGTAAAGACAAAGCCACAGAGCTAATAGTGACCTGTTAGGCTGTGCAGTCCACAGTTTAGGGAGAGCTGTGGGGGAGTCTGGAGGAAGCTCGGCGGGCCTCTGTCCTCAGCGTCTGCACCTGTCCCAGCTGCTGAGCTAGTCTCCACTCCAAATGTGAACAGCTATTTTGGGAACTCTCAAGCCATCAGAAAAGTGAGCGGCTCCATGGTGGCTTGGCTCCAACGCACCCCCAAAATATGTGGTTGGCCACATAACGCTTTCTTGGGCTTTCTGTTCCTCCCTGCCCAAATTGAGACAAGCGCCAACAGACGAACAACCTCTGCTCACCCCCACCCCACCTTCCATAAGTAGCTCCTAGAAGCCCCAAGGCCTATCCTCATCTATCAGCGGTATAAATAGAGCCCACACAGGCCTGGCAGGTGGATGGGAAGCGGCCGGGTTGACAGGCATCATCCTCTAAATATAAAGATGAGCCTGCCTGGGAGAAGCCACTCCTGGGCTCCCGTGTAAGGTCTTGGTGCTCCTTAGGACATCCGTCACCACCTCTCTCCCTTCTTTCAGACCCCGGGAGGGATGCATTGCCACCAAGGGGGTATTATCTTCTCAACCCAGTCAACTAAATGAGAGTTGGGAGTTAGGGACCTCCACACACTCTGACCCCTCTATTCCTTTCAAGAGAACACTGCAGAATGTAGGGGACAGCTCTAGTGCCCTGGTCTCACATGCCTTGTGCCAGGGCCACAATAACCCCCATGCCTTCTCTCGCTGCCACCTCCCCCCTCTGCCAACAGTTGTCCGCCCTGTGACAGCTGCGTGTCCTACACTGACTGACAATCTGTGAGGGCAGGGGTCTAGGGAGGAAGATGTGGGTCAGACCTATGATTTGGGGGGCTTCGAAGTGGGAAGGAAAATGGAATTCAAGTGTGGGACTCATTTTTCCATCCCTACCTGGGGGGCCTGTGACCCCTCCCAGCTCACCTGACCACAGAGCTCCCTCCCTTGGGCTTAAGCATCAGAGCTTGGTAGCCTGAGTTAACCCATACATGGGGTGTAACGTGTCAGGTCAGGAATCCGGTACCTTCTCAGCGGCTCGTGTGCCCGGGGTGGGCAGAGCTGGGGGGACCTTTGAAACAGGTAGAGTTTGGGAAGTGAAGACCAGTCATCTGCAAAAACAGTGACCTTTGGCCCAGCCCATCTCCACAGTGAGCATTGGAGGCAGTTGGGAGGGGCGGACAGCTGGGGATACTCTCCATATATGGTCCGGTCCGGTCCTAGCTACCTGGGCCAGGGCCAGTCCTCTCCTTCTTTGGTCAGTGCAGAAGACCCGGGCGGGGACCTAGGCTGAGAACCAGCCGAAGGAAGGGCTCTAGTGCCCGACACCCAAATATGGCTTGGGAAGGGCAGCAACATTCCTTCGGGGCGGTGTGATGAGAGCACCGAGGACTATATAAAACCTGAGCTAAGGAACAGACGGCCACACGGACGTGAAGCCTCACATCCCACCCTTGGCACCCAGGGCCAGAGTCAGCAGCAGGTAGGGTGGAGGGGGGGCACCCGGAGGACCTAGCAGAGCAAGCTCATTAGCCTTGGGCCTGTAGCTAGCACTGCGCTCTGCCCTAGAGGCAGGCAGTTAAAGAGGAAATTTGGCTCTGCAGGTTTCTCCAAACTCACCTGCAGTCCATTTGAGCTGTTGACTTGGCATTTAGGATACGCCTGAGCTCTGAGAGCTACCCACCACCATCCCCATATTCTCTGCTCCCCCCCCCCCCAACTGAGGACTAAATCCAGGTCCTCCTGCAAGTGAGCAAGCCAGTGCTCTCCTACTGAGCCACACACCAGCCCCTGGCTGGTTGAAATATTTTTTTTTATTTTTTATTTTTTTTTATGAGAGAGGGTTTCTTTGTAGCTTTGAAACCTGTCCTGGCACTAGCTCTATAGACCAGGCTGACCTCAAATACACAGAGATCCGCCTGCCTCTGCCTCCCGAGTGCTGGGATTAAAGGCATGCACCACCGCCGCCCAGCTGGTTGAAATATTTTTTTGTCCCCTCCTTTCATCCCCTCCTTCCTTCTCTCCCTTTCTATGCTGGGACCAAATCTGAGCCCTCTCTCATGGAGCTACTGGCCCTGGTTGACTGATTTGAAGATGTGTTTGAAGATTCAGCCTTGTCTTAGCCGTGGAGCAACTTCCTCAGCCCAAGGCTTTTATTCTTTTCTTTTCTCTTTTTTTCCCCTCGAGACAGGGTTTTGTGGTAGTTTTAGAGCCTGTCCTGGAACTAGCTCTTGTAGACCAGGTTTGCCTCCCAAGTGTGAGTGCCATCACTGCCCGGCTAGCCCAAGGCTTTTCTAAAACCAGCAAGGCCAAGCTAATTGCTGGAATAGGAGACAGGCAGAAGTGTCCTTTCTGAGTTTGGGATGTTGTGGGTGTTCAAACTGGCAACTTCTCCTTAGGACAGTATTACCCTTCCCTGGGCAGCATCCTCCACCCTCTCACAGGAGAGGCAGGTGGGCAGCGGAACTGGATACCTCCTTCACGGATGACATTGGGAAGTAGAGAGGATAGCATTAGTGCCAGTGGTGGGGTAAAGCTAGGGGGTCTTGGGTCTCCAGAGGATGTCTGCTGCATACCTAGTTGGAGGGTTTAGTGTGGTCCACAGACTGCCTCCCTTAGCAAAAGCACAGTTTTGAGCTGGGACAGCATTCTCTGGCCTTCGGCAAGGGGCTGGCAGAAAGAAGCCTCTGGATCTCCAGAGGAAAGGTGGGTTGGGTGGGAGCTTCACCCTAACCCACGCCACAGGCACACTAATGCTCAACACCGCTATGGCCTTGTCCTTGCAGAAACTAGACACCATGTGTGACGAAGACGAGACCACCGCCCTCGTGTGTGACAACGGCTCTGGCCTGGTGAAAGCCGGCTTTGCCGGGGATGACGCCCCCAGGGCTGTGTTCCCATCCATTGTGGGCCGCCCCCGACACCAGGTCAGTCTGCTGCCAGGGAAAGGTAGGTTCACTGAGTATAGCCCATGCTTCCTCCCCATCTGTAGTAACAAGTGTCTGATGTCTCCATCTACAGGGTGTCATGGTGGGTATGGGTCAGAAGGACTCCTACGTGGGCGATGAGGCCCAGAGCAAGCGAGGTATCCTGACCCTGAAGTACCCCATCGAGCATGGCATCATCACCAACTGGGACGACATGGAGAAGATCTGGCACCACACCTTCTACAATGAGCTTCGCGTGGCCCCTGAGGAGCACCCGACCCTGCTCACCGAGGCCCCCTTGAACCCTAAAGCTAACCGTGAGAAGATGACCCAAATCATGTTTGAGACCTTCAACGTGCCTGCCATGTATGTGGCCATCCAGGCGGTGCTGTCTCTCTATGCCTCTGGCCGTACCACCGGTAAGTGCCCATGCATGGCCCACTCTGGGTCAGGTAGTCTTCCAACATCCCAGCCTACCTTCTTAGTTCTGTGCCCTGCACCATCCCCATCCAATCCCTGATGTTCCCTGCCCTCTCCCAGTGCTGTTACCTCCCTGCTCTTCCTGCCTTCCCTCCCGCTCACGCACTGCCCCTCCCCTGCAGGCATTGTGTTGGATTCTGGGGACGGTGTCACCCACAATGTGCCCATCTATGAGGGCTATGCCCTGCCACACGCCATCATGCGTCTGGACCTGGCCGGACGTGACCTTACTGACTACCTGATGAAGATTCTCACCGAGCGTGGCTATTCCTTCGTGACCACAGGTGCGTACTTTCAACCGCGGAGGGCGGGCCGCTGAGGGCGAGCACGCGCCCCGGGCCTTGTCCTGAGACCTCCCTTTTGCTTCTGCCCCTATAGCTGAGCGTGAGATCGTGCGCGACATCAAAGAGAAGCTGTGCTATGTGGCCCTGGACTTCGAGAATGAGATGGCCACCGCTGCCTCCTCCTCCTCCCTGGAGAAGAGCTACGAGCTGCCCGACGGGCAGGTCATCACCATTGGCAATGAGCGTTTCCGTTGCCCGGAGACGCTTTTCCAGCCCTCCTTCATCGGTGAGCCGTCCGCCCGATAGGCTGGTGTGCTGGGATGTGTCTCCTTCCCCCTACGCCTCAGCATACCGGGTCTCGACCCGGTGCCCTTAGTCCCCTGACTCTGTGGTTGCTCACACTGCCTCTTCCCGGGCACCAGGCATGGAATCCGCGGGGATCCATGAGACCACCTACAACAGCATTATGAAGTGCGACATTGACATCAGGAAGGACCTGTACGCCAACAACGTCATGTCAGGGGGCACCACCATGTACCCTGGTATCGCTGACCGCATGCAGAAGGAAATCACAGCTCTGGCTCCCAGCACCATGAAGATCAAGGTGGGTGACGTGGCTGGTGTGGGCGGAGACCCGGGGGCGGTGGGAACACACAGTCACCTGATTCTCTTGTCTTACAGATCATCGCCCCCCCTGAGCGTAAGTACTCAGTGTGGATCGGCGGCTCCATCCTGGCCTCGCTGTCCACCTTCCAGCAGATGTGGATCACCAAGCAGGAGTACGACGAGGCCGGCCCATCCATTGTGCACCGCAAATGCTTCTAGGCGTCCCCTCATCTGTGTACATTCTCTCTCCTCAGGACGACAGTCGTGCTGCGGTTGCAGGGCGGCCCCATCCTCCGCCAGGGCTCCGTCGCCGCCACTGCGACCAGCACCTGTTTTTGACCTGTACATAGATTGACACGTTTTACCTCGTTTTGTTATTTTTCAAACAAAACCCTGTGAACGGAAATGGAAAACTTGAAGCATTAAAGCCAGCCATTCTGTTTTGCTGCAATAAAGCCTGTGTTGTCTTTATTTATGGGGCGGGGGGGGGGGGGGGCAGGAGAAAGACCTGCCTGTCATTTTTCACAGAGCTCCAACGGGGTGCGCTCCTTAAGAAGCAAAGTTAGGAAGTTACGTCTTCTCACCCTTCTGGACCATAGCCACTACCCCCCTTCCCCCCCATAGGGGGCTGGAGAGGCTTGCCCTGTGTCTGGCGGAGGCTGTGTGAGGCTTCTTCCTGCTTCAAAGCTTTCTAAGCCGCGACCGCTGCCGGCTAAGTGGGCTGGCGCTGACCGTGGTGCTGCCCGGAGCACCTCTCAAATCTGCCTCAGGCCAGGGCTGGAAACTGGATCCTCAAGTCTAACCAAAAACTTGCATTCTGTACGTAACGACAATCTTAACCATCGCTGTCCCTTCAAAACTGGGAAGTCCTTTGCCCCCTTCCTATCAAATGCTGGTGGCTGTTCTTGTAGGACTGTGGAGAAGGTACCAGGGAGGGAGGGCAAGGAGGGATTCAGTCTGTGGAAAGGAAGGCTGCTACTGAAGCAGCTAGCAAAGTGGAAGGCTGGCAGCCAGGCTCCCAGGAGGAAACATAAGCACAGGAATTGGTTACTGCTCACCATTCTTAAAACTCCAACCCAGCGCCTTGAGTGTCCTAGGGTAGCTCTGTACTACAGAGCGACAACCAAGCCACCACCAAATGGGTACAAGCCACGACTTTGAAATCCTGCAGGACATAGACAAACATCTTAGACAGGTTCTCATGTGTAGTGGAGGCTGGCCTTGAACTCTCAGTCATCCTCCTGCCTCAGCCTCTCTATTGCTGGCATTGTACCAGTAACACCAGACCCAACCTTGCTGTTAAAAGTAGCTTTCTATTCCTAGTCAATATTTCCAAGAGCAGTGGTCCAAATAAAACAGATTCCAACTCAAGAAAGGAAACAAACTCACTTAGAAACGTGTTTACAGATACGGTTGACTGTGTGGCTGGGGGGTTGTTTCCTCCTTTCTTTCCTATTGAAGAGCTCCAGAAGTTTCCAAGGCCCCCCAGGACACTGATCAGAAGAACTGGCTTCTAGATAAAGCTTCAGACTTTGTTACAATGAGCACATGGTACTAGACTTACTGCAAACCACCTGTTTGTTCTACCTAGCATGAAGGAAAGTTTAAAATCATCAGTGTCGATGTCCCCTCATTGCTTCTGAAGCTCGGCTCAACTCCTCCTTGGAGCCTGGGACTTTTACCCCAATCTCTGATGTCATGGGGTTTGTTTGTTGTTTCCAATGGGGTTTCTTTTAGCCAAAGACAGAGGATGACCTTGAACTTCTGATCCCTCTGGGACTAACGGGGTACTCTAGCGTGCCCAGTTTGTGGAGTGCTGGGGGTAGAACCAGGGCTTTGCATATGTTATGCAAGCACTCTCCCAGCTGAGCCCCAGTCCTAGCCCAGCTGCTGTGTTTCAAGCTGCTCTGTTTCTTGGACTAAACACGAGTCTGCCAAGTCCCCAGGAGGATGAGCAGCAGCTGGGAGGCCAGGGGGCCTGAAGGCCTGCAGTCTAAAACTAGCGCATAACATGTCCGTGAACCATCTGAACCATGAAAAAACCAAACCAAAACAAAACGAAGGGCAAACTGACAAAGGAATCGGGTCAAACTGATGGATCACCACAAAGCTCCCATGGGTAGCATGAGGGCTCAGGTTTTGTTTTGGTATTTTTTTCTGCTTTTGTTCTTCATTCTTCCATGTTCATTTCAACTTATTTTTCTAGCAAATACATGTCATGTTGATATCAAAATGTTAAAGTGAAACCAAAACCAAATAATTAAGCAAAGGAAAAGTCCACACTATCCCAGCTGCAGGGGTGCTATTTGGGGTGGCCAGGATGGTGTATTAGTCACGGTTCTCTACAGGAACAGCACCAATGGGATGAATATATATATATAAAGACTGCCTCGTGTTTTCTATAAGATTTATCTGGGGACTTACAGAGCCTCATAGCTTGACAGTGTATACACAGGTAATATTAATATATTACATTATCTTACGTATATAACTTGGATTCAGCTCTCTTTACTAGGATAGTAGTACAGGGCATTACTCTCTAAGGCAAGAACTGCCGTCCTCATAAGAACAGCTGTGGATTGTTACATTCATGACAGCTGGGCTTGTTGGTTGTAAGCACTCCTTGGTAGGAGTGGCTAAAGAGTGTCATCAGAACCTCCTCTGAATATCCAGCCTTTCCTTCCATCAGTTGTATATAATTCTGCCCTAATTGGATGTGGCCTCATGGTTTTGTTCGGGGGGGGGGCAGCTAGGGAGTATAGGTTGGGAAAGACAAGGGAGGAGACCATGTATGCAGCTATGGGAAGCCCTCACACATTCTTCTTCCTCATCTTCTATTTCTCTGTATTTCTCTTTCTTTCTTCCCTCCCCCATTCCCTTTATTTCAATAAAACTCCCACATAAGCTCTGCCTACGTGGCGTGTCTATCTCTCACCCGCCGCGGGTCCCCTTGGCCCGCCAAGGTCCACATACTCAGGAGTTCCCAGACAGACCCTGGAGACAACAGTGGACAGGACTGTGTCCTGCCCCCACCATGCTGGCCCTGCCCTACAAAGGAGGAATTTGGGAATGGGACCTCAGCCCCTCAGAAGTCACATAAGGCTGAGCGAGGTGATGCACACCTTTAATCCCAGGTCGGGAGGCCAGCCTGGTCTACAGAGAGCATTCCAGCTACATCTGTGAGACCTTGTCTCAAATAAAAATAAAAATAAAAAAGAAGATAAAGGAGGAAGAGAAGAAAAAAGAAATCACATAAGGTCACTTATGCCAGGGCAGCTAAGCCATGAGAGCCACCACCTTTCTCCTCAGCTCCTGTTGAGGCTGTCTCTTCCCTTTGTACTGAGGTAACGCTCTTCCTAAAGATCAGCCAGGCACTGGGGGGGATAATGGATTGTTGTGCTGAATGCACATGGTACAGGGTTACATAAGGACACCTTCACGTACAACATGCACTGAGCGTTTCCTCCCCCTCCCCTCCCCTCCTCTCCCCTCCCCTCCCTTTCTCTCGCCTCCCTGCTCCCATTAGTCCCCCGCAACGCTAGGCTATTCTCTGTAACTAGGAGCTCCTTGCCTTCTAATCGCTTCCATTTTGGAGGATTTACCAAAGAACTCCAAGTCAAACCACAGAGTCACCTGCACTTCGATGTTGACAGCAGGATTCTAAGCTATGGAACCAACCTAGGTGTCCATCAACAGGAAGAGATCAGGAGAATGGGATGTATATACACAACTGGATTCTTAGCGTAAAGGAGAGGGATGTTGTCCTGTTTTCAAGGAGATGGGTGCAGCTGGAGAGAGTGAATGTGGTGACAGTGGGCAGGAGACACAACAGAGACCAGAGGATCAGCACCTCCTCCCTCAGGGAGCTGACCCGCCTAGCAGGGAGGTCCGTGCTTATCAGCCAGCAGGTCCACACAAGCCATAAAGGAGAAGGGTTAGACCCAGCCGCAGCGCTGTGTTGACATCATAAGGATGGTGGGAGACAGCTGGAGAGATGGTTTACCCTTCCAGCGTACTGGCTGTTCTTCCAGAGGATCAGGGTTTGATCCCAGCCCCCAGTCATCTGGCAAAACACCCACATACATTTTACAAAGAAACCAACCAATACAATGGGAAACCATTGACCTGTTTTTTAAAGCATAAGTTGGGTGGAAGGGCTTGGGGGAAGCGGTGCAGTCTGGGCCCTCGGTAACGTATGACTTGGCTTTCAACCCTTTCATTTCCCCTCAGTACACTGGAGCCTTAGGCTAACGGGGAGGTTCAGTAGAAATGGGAATTGGAATGTTCTGTGTAGAAAATCCAAGACTACTGAGGGGCGAGAGCTCCTGCTGCCTTGGTCCCTGCCTATTTTATGCCCCTTAGTCAGCTTGGGAGGCCCTGCTCTGTAAGCAGGGGTGGGAGTAGGAGAAGGAGAGGGGAAGGAAGGGTGCTGGGTGGGAGGGGAGCTTGATGAGGGGAGGGGGAGGGAAGGAGGAGGATTCACAGCAGCTGTCTACAGAGCCATCCACCAGTCTGCCTTAGCGAGTCACTGAGCGGCGCCCACTGCCTGCCTCTATTTTTAAACCAGCGCCTGCTCATATCTTACATGAAACAAGCCTTCCAGTTGGTGGAGGGGAATCTGATGGCACAGGGTAAGGACTGAAAGAGTCATTTGAAAACCTATGTAGGAATTGCAGGGCAATTGCTCTCTGTAACTAGGAGCTCCTTGCCTTCCCAATAGTCAGCCATTTAGGCCTCTGTCCTGCAGGTGCAAGGAGCTACCAGCCCTGGGCACCAGTAGAGGCTCTGGAAACAGAGAAGCTCCGAGAACAGCAGCAGCAGGCTGGGAGGCCGAAGGCAACTGCTTCGGGCAGGGCTCAGAGAGCAGTGCACACAGGCATCCACGTGGTAGGACTCAGGTACCAGAAGCAAACAGGAAAACCACATATGGAAGTCCCGAGGCTGCCATTTTGGAAAGGGTGGTAAACTTGGATCAATCAGTCTACACCTTTAAGCCTCTATTCTCTCTGTAAAGGGGACACTAAACCAAGCTTTGTAAACCTTCTCAGAAGAGGGACCCAACTGAGATAGGAGCAGCAAGCATCTCCCGACATACTTTGGGGAGGTGGACAGTTAAAGCCAATGTGTGTTCCACACCCCCAGGACAGACAGATGCTGGCTGACAGTTTGTGGATCTAATGGAGACGATGCAGGTCTGTCTTCAGAAAAAGAACCTAGGCAGGGCCTCTGGGCACACTGAAGTTCACTACCAATTCCCTCTCCTGGCACAGTTGCCCCTTCTGGAGGTTTCTGGCAGCAGCTGACCTCTCCTCAACATCACCTGACCCCAGCAGGAAGCAGAGGACACCCACAAACCAGCCCTGCATTTGTTGCTTACCTTAGGCAAGGGAGCAGAGCCTGAACCGCAAGCTTGGGTCTGAGGGCCACTTTGCTAGGCGCTTCTCAGGGGTC